GGACGACAGCTAGAACGTCGGCGGCGTCGGAGCCTTGGTCGGGGAAGGTGTGCCGCGCCAGCTTTCCTCCGACGCACGAGACAGACAATGGGTCGGCGCCCGTCGCCGACTTGAGGTCCAGCCCAATGGCGACCTCGTTCTTCGCCGAGCTCCTGATGGTGTCCATGCCGACGTGCGCAAGCCGAGCGTGCATCCTGTCTGGCGTCGACTTCGTCTTGGAGACGATCGCCCGCAGGGCCACAACCTCCGGCGTGGGCGACGTCGACCTCGTTGAGCAGGGACGCAGGTCGGTGCAGAGGACTCGCCCGGAGTACGTCGCCCGACCAAGCACCTCTCCCGCTGCCGAGATGAGCAGCACACCATCGCCGTCCTCCTGAAACTTCACGCCATGCTCCTTCAGCTGGCCGGACGACAACAGGTTGGCCCGCACACCCGGGACGTACAGCACGTCGGGGATGAGAACCTGCTTCCCGGCCTCGCCTTGCAAGGCGACCGTGCCCCGGCCTTGGACGTCTTGCAGCGCCCCATTGAAGCCACGCACGTGCTTCAAGTCGCCGCTCGGCCCCAGGTCGACGAAGGCGTCCTTGGTCCCCATCAGGTGGTGGGAGCAGCCGCTGTCCAGCAAGACCACCGCCGGGTTCGCCTGCACTGCTGCTGCCATCGCCTGGAAATCCTCACCAGCCTCCGGCGCCAGTGAGACGGTCGGCTCCACGACGCCGACCAGAGAGCACGACGCCGACTTGTCGTTGCTCCCCTTGCCGCTAGCAGAGGAGTCGGCGTCCTTCGCCGAGGTCGACGACTTGGTCGACTGCTTCTCCTTGCGCGGCTGACTTCCTCCTCGACGGGGCCGACGACTGCCAGACCTCCCGCGGCCTCCCTTGTCGTCGTCGTCCGAGTCACTGCGGTCGGGGCACTCGAAGGAGAGGTGGTCGGGGTCGCCGCACAGCCAGCACTCCCGACGTCGACTTCCTCCTCCCCGGCCACTGTCCTTGGTCGACTTCTTCTTGTCGACCTCCTTGGCCGACTTCGAGCCACTGCTACCACCGCCACCAGACTGTCCACGCTGCCCTGGTCGACCGCCTTGCTTCGCCGGGGCGACGTAGTTCACCTGCGCCAAGAGCTCTTGTGACCGCTCGGCCTCCTGCATCGCCTCGTCCTGCAGGATGTACGAGGTCAACGTGTCCTCGTTGAGCGTCGCCCGCGTGCTCGGCGCCATGGACAGCCGTTTCAGCAGGTTGTAGCTGCTCGGGAGTCCCTGCATAACATGGGTGATGTACGACGCCGTCGAGTACTCCGCACCGGCCATCCTGATGGTGGCGAGAATTCGCCGGGCCGAGTTGCAGTAGTCGGTCGCCGTCTCCTGGTCGCCCATACGCAGGTGTGTCAGCTGCCCCTCCAGTTGGGCGATGAACAAGTCGTCGGTGACTTGGTAGGTCGACTCAATGAAGTGCCACGCCTGGTGGCCGGCGTCGACGTACTCCCGGCACCACTTCAAGGCGATCTGCACTCCCGGCGAGCAACACCGCGAGATGACCGTGAAGGTCAACAGCTGCACAGCGCGGAACTCTGCGCGCAAGTCGAGGTCGACCGGCGTCTCCACAGTGCCGCGAGCAAAGCTGATGAGCCCGGCCATCTCCAGCTGGGGCTCGATGGCTTCCTTCCAGGTGAGTATGTCGGGTCGACCGACCAGCGGGGGAGTCACCGAGATCCTATCCGGCGTGAACTTGAAGTAGCCGTAGCTCGGCGCAATTCCGCCCGCCGTCACCTGGGACGCCGACATCGGCGTCAACCCGCTTCGTCGACCTCCGACGTCGCCCTGCGAGGTGCCCACAGCCGACGTCGACCGCCTCCCTCGCCCTTGAACGCCGCCGACTTCGTCGGCGTGAATCACACCACGCTGCCTCGACGTGCCTCCCGCACTGCTGCCGACCTGGCCTCCCCCGGCGTTGACGCCCACGTCGACGCCGCCCTCGGTGTTCGCCGGTCGAGGAGAAGCAGGCCGTGATGGGTGCTCCCCCGCCCACATGCTGCGGAGCCCGGCCTCGACGACCGCCCACGGCAGGTCGCCGTACTCGTTGGCCTCGTGCTTCCTCCTCGCATTCTCCAGCCGTGCCTCCAGGGTGTCCACCACCCCGGCGTCACCTACGCCGCCTACCATGGTGGCTAGCGCACAGCTGCCGGTCTACGAACACTATCGGGACGTGCAAAGTCGGCTAAATCGAAGGTGCCTTCGCGGTGTCGTCCACGCTCACCGCACCATGCGGAGATAACTCTAGTAACGGGAGCTAGACTACGGGCTAGGCACGTGTGCTCGTGTGATCTCTGCGTTCGTTGGTCCTTAGTCGTTTTCCTAGTGCACACACTGCTTGCTAGTTCACAAGGCAATTTGGCAAGAGTTTCACTAGAGAAAGTTGGCAACAATGATACAATGAAGTTGGCAACACAAGGCTACATCAGAGCTAGGATGCAAGCAGATCGACTGCCAGCGCAGCACGGTCGACCGCGTGCCAGCACGACTTGGTCGACCGCGCTCCAGCAGTGCAGAGACGCGGCTTGCCAACGCTGTAGGTCGACGGCGTGACAACCGTGCTAGTCGACGGCGTGCCAGCGTTGCTCCTGCAGTCCAGCAGCGCACCAGCTTCGCAGGTGCTCGTAGGCGATTGGCGCGCACTGCTTCGTCACCTGCACAGCGCACACACCAAGTCCACCTCGTGCTGACGACCGCACCTCATCCGCCAGGTCGACCTCGGGATACCACCACCGAGGTCGTCCTCGCCAACTTCGCCTGAGCGACCTTCGCGTGCCTTCGCAGACCCTCGTCACCCAGGTAACCTGGTCGACCAGGCAACCAGGTCGACCAGCCGTTCCCGTGCGTGCCCGTCGACCTCCCAAGTCGACGACCACTTTCGGTCGACCTCCCCAGGTCGACCACTGCCTCTGGTATGTGCCGGTCGACCTCCCAAGTCGACGGCTACCTCCAGTCGACCTCCCCAGGTCGACCACTACTCCCTGGTCGACCAGATCTAGGTCGACGTCACTCCTGGTCGACCAGAGGGTCTGGTCGACGTCCCAGGCCGACCAGAAGAGATTGGTCGACTTCCCAGGTCGACCAAAAGGGCTGGTCGACTTCCCAGGTCGACCAGCCAAAGGTGGCGCCCTCCTGAAGTCGGCGCCCATGCAGTGGCTCCCCGTGCAGGTCGACCAACCTCGTCGACCAACTCGCCCACTGCTGCAGGTCGGCTGCACCCTACACCCGACCACGAAGTCGGCTCCGCCCAAGCGAGGACGGGGCCAACACCCAACTCCCGTTGACAACAAGCACCAAGACTAGCAGCCTATACCCCAGCAACTCTAGGCATACACGAGTAACACTCGTCCTCAACACTAGCAGAAGCAGCATACATCGCATACATGCCAGCATGGATCACTGTCAAGTCACAAGCAAACGCATCGATGTCCATCTTAAGCAAGGCTAACCAGTCAGGAGTTGTCATCTCCTCACCACGCTCTGCACGATACAGATTGTCAAGGTGAAAGAAGCAGTGAGACTCCGTGTAGTCGGTGCGAGTGCAAGTCACTCCACGCTGCCCTGTGCGACGGATGTATCCGCAGCGAGCTGAGCCACCTGAGCTGCCACACAGGATCACCCACTCACGAAGCTAGCGAAAGTGGGTGCGTTGGTCTAGCGGAAGGTGGTCACGGACAGCAAGGGTGGCAGGAGCGCCAAAGGTGAGCACAGTGGGAGTCGCCACAGTAGCAGTAACGGCAGCAGCAGTAGTAGCAGTAGCAGCAGTAAGGGCGGCAGTAGTTGCTGGTCTGGTGCAGAACGGCACTGGTGCGCGGGGCTAAGGCAGCACTAGTGCACGGGGCGGCTCGGCTCAGCTGGGCGGCTTGGGCGGCAGCAGCAGGTGAGCAGTAGCAGCAGCGCAGGAGCGCACACAGGGCTGGGCAGGGCAGTGGGCGCAGCTCACGGCGCAGGGCAGGGCAGTGCAGTGCGTGCGGGCAGAACACTGCGCAGGACAGCAGCAGCAGTGCAGCAGCAGTAGCAGCAGCAGTAGCAGCAGCAGCGCAGGCGGCAGCTTAGCAGCAGCAGCACCTTAGCAGCAGCAGCAGCTGAGAAGCAGCAGCAGCGCAGCAGTAGGAGCAGCACAGGCGGCAGCTTAGCAGCAGCAGCAGTGCAGCAACGGCAGCACAGGTGGCAGCAGGACAGCAGGAAAAGTGCGCGGGCAGCTCGCGGGTCGCCGGCGGAGCGCAGGAGAGGCGCTCGCGGGCGGCGCAGGGCTGACGTGTGGGGTAGGGCAGGGCAGGGCCGCGTGCAAAGCTACAGCACGGGCAGAAGGGTGTGCACGGGCGCTGGGCAGCGGGGCACGCGCGGGCGCTTGGCAGCAAGGCGCGCGCGGGGCTGGGCAGCGGGGAACACTGGCGCGCAGGGCAGCAGGGCGTGCTGGCGCGCAGGGCAGCAGGGCACTCGCTAGCGGGCAGGATCGGGACTAATTGGTGGGCCCTTGGAAAAAAAAGTCGGTCCTAAGGATCAACATACTCTAAAACCATATCAAGATAGGAAACGGGAATGGTTGCTTAAGCAGGACTTGTGGTACAAGTACTAACCCTAACAATGGTTGCACCCCATAGGGAGTGACCCACTACAACCTAACAATGTATGTTTCACAAGGGGCTGTTGGCTGAGAACATCAAAATAACCAAACCAAGTTGATTGAAGAGCTGGTAATGCACGTGTTGGAAACAAGAATTGGTCAGAAATACCGTACACGTCTTCCACATAATATATGATTTATGTGATTAGCCCCATCCCAACACTAGACCTACTCCCCAACAAGCAAGACTACAGCTAACTAAGATATATAACTCCTCGACGTTGGTTACTCGACGCTCCAAGCAGCCCACATTTGACCAGCACAAGGCTTTCGTGCAGAGCGAGTCGAGCCCACCACTACAGGCCATAGTGCCAACCCCGAATGGTCCACGACCATATGACTGTCTTAAGACGTCTGGAAGACGACGCAACGGCGATCCTCGGGGAAGGAAGAGGAGCCATCGCCGGGGTTGAGGTTGAAGACCTGGTTGTACACCTCGATCTCCGCGTTGGTGATGGGGATCGTGACCGTAAGACCGTTGTACTTGCCCTTGTCCTGCGGTTGGATCGTCCGCACTTGCACCACCTGCGACCCGCAGAGCGACGCGTTTAAGAAAACAATTGTTTGCAACCACGTGTTGAATGTACATAGAAAGACGCAGAGAGAACGATGCTGAGTGGATAGGGTTACTGCAGCCGACTTACATCCTGAACAACGTAGAACTGGTTGTCGTCGGGTAGAGAACTGCCACCGGAGTACTTCGCCGTCTGCGAGTTGAGCGCAATCACGTTCACAACGCTCCCCTTCACCGACGCTTCAATCGGCGGGCTGATCACCACGTCACCGCCGTTCTCTGGCAGTTTGAACGTCGGTGTAGAGTCCTGGAATCCCGTGAAGTAGAAATCGCACCCGCCAGACGGTACTGGGGGACTGGAGGAAGAGCTCGCGGCGGCCTGCTCGGGTACGCGCGGACTTGAGTCCTTCGAGTTCGAAGGCATGTCCTTCGTGGAGGTGTCCACGTTGTGGTCTGCGAGCGTGGTTTCCGGGTCAGTGGTAGCGACGTTGTCGGTGAGGGGGTTGGGAGTCACTGTTGTTGCGTCGGCAGGCGCGTTGGAAGCGCCTCCCGTCGCGGTGATCTCAGCCGTTGCCGCCTCTTCGTGCTTCGCCCTCACCGTGGTTGGAACGACGATCTGCGAGCCGCGTGAGAAGGAAAGATGACATAGGACACCGACGAATTAAACCGTGAATGATAAGAGTAGTCGAAGGGGACCCAGCAGTAGTGGTAAGATGGCATAGGACATCGACGAAGATGGCTAAAGTAGTGGAAGCGCGAATCGTATTGCTCTCGGAATGTTGCATGCAGCGCATACACGCACCTTTGCAGAAAGTCCGGGAAGTTTGGGAAAGAGCCTGTTCTGGTCCTCCTGTAACATCTGCAATCATCGATGTGTAAACGGCGCAAAACGGCAGATGGTTAGCTCGCGAACGTGGGCACTGGGAGGAGGCGTAACTGCGATAATTGTTTGGATAATTTCTATAAGATAAAGCCACGAGGTACTGACTCGAGATGAGCGGAAGGCGTGGCAAGGCAGTGAAGCAGCCAGCAGCGCCACCGCGAGAAACAGAAGAGTCCTCATCGTTGCTGCTATCTCTAGAGAAGCAGCACCAAAATTACAGCCTTGAGGTGAACCAACTAAGGGGAGCTTGCTGTGGTTGATGGTAGAGGGACTACAAGCTCTAGTACTGACTGCGCACTGCTTGTGATAAAAGCAAATGTCGAGTCCTTCTGGGATAAATGAAATTGAGGTGGGAGGCCCGAGTTTCTAGGTGGAAGCTGCAGGGGTTTGCTGCTGAGAAGATTGAAGTGCGTGAAATTACATACCGTGATCAGGTTTGCGGCTCGTGCTATGTAGGTCGCAGAAACAAGGCGCGACAGCGTACCCTTGCGCCTGCGATTGCCACGAACTATAGTGCGACGAATTACAGGCAGGTGAGCATGGCTCGGCCCGTACGTGAGCTCCAGCCCAGCCTTCGTTCGGCCGTCGCAACTACCAACAGAATCGCACGCCCTTGCTCGATTTGCATGGCATCAATTGACCAAGCGTGTCGCCGAGGCTGTTCGTGTGGGAACACTTGCTGTGCTCCGGGCAAAGGGTTCGTCGTGGCGCAGAATCTTTGTTCGGGGTGCGGGGCTGAGAACCAAGCTGAGCGCTCTTCCGTGGGGTGATCAACGCGACACGCGGAATTACTGGACCCCATTTGCAGCCTCCTTGGGAGGTTCCGCAAGGTTCGCAAAATTCTGCCGAACCTGGAACTGAGGTACGTGAAGACGAAGCGCGAGGAAGCTGCGATGTGTTAGGCCAGCTCTACCGAGCCACTCTCGCCGACGACCACGGGCGGCCCGAACCCCTCAAACCAAGAAAGGGCGCAACGTGAGCCCTCGTGCCCGGAGCGCTTTCCAATCACGACAATCTCACGTCATCTCCACCCACAGCAGAAAACTGCAAGTTGTAACAACACCGAAAACATGTTCTTCGCGAGTTCCATTGCAGAGGCGCATCCGTACATGCAATGTAACAAGCTCAGCCATTTGAAATTTTGACTCAAATATATAATCTCACCCATGCCATAAAAATTCGTAAGTTACCATAATTTGGACCAGCTCTGCCTCCCAAGCCAGCCATAGGGTGCTGACCATAGAGCGTTTAAGAGTTTTCTGGGAAGGTAGGTGGTGAGAGTTGTTTGACTCTGCCATCGCAGCGGCGCGACCAGCAGTGTGTCAGCTTACTAACGCTACTCCTTTACCAAGACTTCGATTACATTCGCCTGTCGTGGTGCCAGTAGCGGTGTACGGTCGGATAATGGAGCCGTAGTTTGGCAAGCCTCACAATAGGGGAGTTGGTTGTGTCAACAGGACTAGGCAAGAATGGTGCATTGAATGGAAGAGTTGAGTACAAGTAGCAAACCCTAGTTGGGGTTGTACCCCATATTGGCTACCCCACTACAGCCTACCAACATAACACAGTTTAACACACCCCCATAGGCAAAGTGGGGGAGAACAAAGGGTCACAAGACCAGTCAAGCAAAGTAAAGCAAGCCCAGGGTGGATCACAACGTCACCACACTCCGAGCACAAGCAAAGGCCACAAGGCCAGTTCACATGCAGTGCTAGATATAGTACAAGACAAGCAACACAGTGATCAAGACCTAGCAAGCAAGCAACAAGATATATATAAAGGACAGTACAAAGAAAGTCAAGCAGTAAGCAAATGAGGGAATGTGGACACAAGGCCTAAGGAAGTACAGTGCCGCTGATGATCACTAGGCGGGAGCGCCTTGGTGAAGATATCAGCAGTGTTGGCCTTCGAGTCCACGTACACAAGCCGAAGCTGACCTCGCTGCTGCAGCTCTCGAGCAAGAAAGTAGCGAAGAGCAATGTGCTTCGTCCTGTGCTCCAGTCTGTGCTCCTGACACAAGGCAAGGGCCGCCTTGTTGTCGCCGTACAGAACTGGAGGAGAACGAGGCCGCTCTCCCAAGTCAGTCAGCAGATAGGTGAGCCAGCGTAACTCCTGTGCAGCCATGGCCGTGGCGTAGATCTCAGCCTCACAACTGGAGCCGAGAACAGAAGAAGAGCGGGTGGACCGCCAAGAGACAGAACCAGAGCCAAGGCTGAAGGTGTAACCCTGTGACGACCGCTGCGTAGCCAGGTCGTCCACCCAAGAAGCGTCTGAGTGACCAGTGAGGACAACTCTGTCGCGTCCTCCAAGCACCAGCCCCATGCCTGATGTACTGCACAAGTAACGCAGCACCCTCTTAGCAGCCTCCCAGTGCTCTCGCCTGTGTCTCCCAGGCGCAACGTAACGAGCAAGGATGCTAAGAGGGTACGCGAGGTCAGGTCGCGTGCAAGTCATCAGGTACATGAGGCAGCCTACAAGCTCTGGGTACGGGCCACTCGGCTCTACGGACTCGTCCGAAGGTGGAGCTGAGAACGAGTGACTGGTAGCCAGAGGTGTGGCCTGTGGTGAGGAGAACTGGAAGCCGAAGCGCTGAAGGACCTGCTGCACCATGTGTGACTGAGTCAGGGTAATGGTGCGGCGTGCTCTGTCCCGGGTGATCTGCAAGCCAAGGTAGCTACGCAGCTCACCCAGGTCAGTGCAGGTGTGTCTCTTCTGCAGCTCCGACTTCACACGAGCGAGTGCCTCAGTGTCAGCAGTAGCAAAGACCAAGTCATCGACGTACACGAGAATGTAGAACGGCGGCAGCGACGTGTCTGTGCGCAGAAACAGCGACGGGTCAGCAGTAGACGGCGCGAACCCAAGAGCCGCAAGTGTAGTCCTCAGTGTGTCGTGCCACTCACGTGGCGCCTGGCGGAGACCGTAGACTGGCCGGCGGAGGCTCCACTGGGTACCAGGAGGAAACGACCCAGTAAAGCCAGGTGGGCGGCGCAGCCAGATCTCCTCGTGCAGGCTGCCCTGCAGGAACGCTGTGCTGAAGTCAAGAGAGTGAAGCTCGTAGTCACGCTGAGTAGCAACGTGCAGCAGAACCCGAAGAGTGGTCATCTTCGGGGTGGGGGAGAAGGTCTGGAAGAAATCAACTCCCTGACGCTGACTGAAGCCTCTAGCAACGTAACGAGCCTTGAAGACAGGTGGAGAACCTGGCGGCCGCTTCACCGTGAAAATCCACATGCCATCGACGATGTTCGCCCCAGGAGGGGGAACCTCGTCGACGTAGGTGCCTGTGGACTTCCAGGATGCCATCTCTGCGTCCATGGCTGTCTGCCACTGAGAGGAGTAGGGACCCGAGATTACCTCAGCGTAAGTGCGCGGAGTGGGGATGTCTAGTGCATCCGGGTCTCCCTCAAGGGCAAGCAACCAGGCCACGAGATGAGGTACAGCAGCCGCAAGAGAGTCAAAGTCCTCCTGCCTGTCCTCAAGGACGTCCGTGCCAAGAGCACACTCACCCCCGACGGACGGAGGACAGACAGTCTCAGACCTAGCAACAAGACTGGCGGCGTAGTCTAGGCGACAGGCAGCAGCAAAGTCGACAAGCTCAGCGACCAGGGCAGACGCAGCAGAGGACTCAAACGACGGGTCAGTGACAACAGTGGCGAGAAGACGCGTAACAGTAGGGTGGGCAGCACGAACACTGTCAGACTCAGGGTCGGGAACGTCAGGAAGAGAAGACGCAGGAGGAGACGGTAGGGGGACACGCTGTGGACCAGTGGAAGGACGAAGTGCCATAATGTGCGTGCCGAGAACAGGAGGAGGACGCGGACGCGCGACACGACGGCCAGTGGGACCAGTGCGAGCAGTGCGAGCAGCGCGAACAGGCGAGGCAGGACGAGACGCAGGCTCACGGCGCTCCGTAAGCGAGTCCGGCTGTGCAGTGTAAGGCACAGGAGCAGGGAGGGGGGAGCCAGGCTGGAGGGGAAGGCCAGTGGAAGACGGGAGGGAAAGAACCTGGCGAAGCACCGTGTCAGGCGGTGGCAAAGCCGACGGCGACGGAGGAGCGAAGAACAGGCGCGACGGCGGAGCTCCGCCAGCACCTCCAGCACCCGCAGCACCAGAAGCACCAGGACCAGCACCCTCCGCCGCAGCACCCCCCGAGTCGGCGACGTCAGCACCAGAGGCCCCAGCAGCGTCAGACCTCCCCTCGCCAGCACCTCCAGAACCAGCAGGACCACCGTGTCCAGAACCGTCAGCTCCAGTGTCGTCAGCTCCAGCAGCTCCAGTACCGCCAGGAAGAGCACCCCCAGAGCCGGCAGCTCCAACTCCGCTAGCACCGCCAGCTCCAGAGTCCCCAGCTCCAGCAGCTCCAGTCTCAGTGCTCCCAGAACAACCAGTCCCGGCAGCTCCAGTACCCCCAGTACGAGCACCTCCAGGACGAGCAGCTCCAGCACCCCCAACTCCAGCAGAGCCACGAGGACGGCAAAAGCGCCGGACGTACCAGTCACGAAGCTGCTGCGGTGTGAGAGACTGCTCAGCACCCCGAACCGGAGCACCCCCAGACGCAGCAACCCCAGGCTCCGTAGGCTCAGTAGCAGCACCCCCAGGCTCAGTACCCCCAGGCGCAGCACCCCCAGGCTCAGCACCCCCAGACTCCGTACACGCAGGCTCAGCACCCCCAGTCGCAGCACCCCCAGGCTCAGCACCCCCAGGCGCCGAACTCTCAGGCACAGTACCCTCAGCTCCAGCACCCGCAGTCCCAGCACCCGCAGCCCCAGCACTCCGAGGCCCAGCACCCGCAGGCTCAGCACCCCCAGGCTCAGCACTCCCAGCAGCACCACCTGCAGCAGCACCTGAGTCACCTGTGACCTCGACAGGCTCAGCGACGGGAGGAGGGTCTACCTGAGAGACACCTGAAGGAGCAGGACCCTGAGGGGGAAGGGGGTCTACCGGAGGGGGACCAGGAGCAAGGAAAAGCGGCGGGGGAGGGAGGGGGGCAGTGCGGTAGGGGAAGAGACGGTAAAAAGGGACCGACTCGTCAAAGGTGACGTCCTGAGAGGCGAAGACCCGGCGCGAGGTGGGGTGGTAAAACTGCCAGCCAGGCGCGTCAGAGACAAAGCCAAGGAAGACACAGGGAAGCGTGCGGGAGGAGAGCTTGTCCGCGGACGTATCGCGGACAAGGGCACGAGCAC